TTATGTTCGGGCAATAACTGTGGCCCCTGGAGGTACTAGAAAAAAAAGAGTAATATAAAGTTTTTGGTCCATTTTATCCTCTAAATCATTGCCAAAAATAGGGGTCTTCTTTGGCCAGAACCTGTCTTACAGGCAAAATTTCATAACGATCGGTTCATAACTGTAGCCTGTATTGTATTTATAAATTTTAATGGTCAGACGGGCAGCTAGTCGAGATATGACGATTGGTATACAAAAAGGTGGGTCTAGATCCAATATTTTGTAGAACATAAAAGTATCAAATTACAATTGTCGATTAAAAAACATTATATTATCCACCATGAAAAACAAAAAAATAAATTAAAATTTCGATGCTACTGTTATTTATATCATTTACACTGTGCGACAAATAGAAAACCGGTTCTTTTTTAATCGAATTTTATTTTTGGCTATAGTAAATAATTTGTACGAATACGACAGTTCTACATAATACATAATAAGGAATATTGAATTTATTGAAATATGTACATATATATAGGGTTTTAGTAAAAATAAACTGATAAAATTGAGAATAGACCAATAAGACGTTAACATATCGATTTCTCGTCTTTGGGAACCCCACCTAAAATTGTATGAATATCGTTTTTGTAGAATGTTGCGAGGATGAAAACTCGAATCTTGTGATTTTTGGACTTCGGTTCAATAAATGAAAGACGAGTTAGAAGGACAAAATGTTATACAAAAAATTCGATTTTACCGAAGACATATAATATGAAGATATCTCTTCAAGTATAATAGGGTCGCCAGCAAAATGATAACGCCATATCTCCGAACTTTAACGTATGGCGAATTTTTCCTTCTAGGGTTTTCATATATTCACCAAAGTCAAGCAGGTATGTTCTCCTTTATGAAACCGAAATGCCAACTTGAAGCCATTTGGGTTAGAACCTTCAAAATACTTTAAATTGTGAGAGGCTGTTACAGCCCTATTTGAAACGTAGACCTGTATTAATAAATATTCTTAATTAATATTTTATTCTAATTAGAATCCAAAATTCCAAATTACATTTTCCTTTCTGCTGGAAAACATGGTTAGTTCCCTCAATACATTTCAAAGCATTCAGGAACTTTATGTGGAGACTATATAAATACATGGACCGAAATCATGGACCGAATCCAAAGATTGGTCAATATTTATAATATTTGTATGGATGATTTGCCACGCATCCGAAATACCGCATAATAAGCTGGGATAATATTAATCATTTTGATAGGGAAATTTTCTGTCCTAGTGAATCCAAAACAACAGCGAACTCGATTGAAAAACATTGTCCGATAATACCGAAATTTAGGAGGCAACGAGGCCAATTTTGTTAATTTTTATTAAATATTGATGCTTTTTTGTCTGTCCATGTTAAAATGTAAACATTGTACAGTTAGCATTTATGATCCTAATACATTTGGCACAGCTCATTTATTTGACCCCAGGACGAACCCTATTGATATTGGGAAAATTTTTTTCAGATTTAGTTATAGCTCTCATATATATTTTTGTCCGATTTAATGTAAATGGTACACCAAAATCTCTATATATTTTTCGATTTACACAAAATTAAGTATAGAATAGTCTGTGTAAAGTTTCGGGAAAATCAGTTCAGATTTAGATTCGGCTGCTATATATATTTTTGTCCGATTTTATGTTAATGGAGCACTAAAGACCCTATATTTTTTTTGATTCACGAAATTAGGCTTAGCCTATTGAATTGTGTCTGAAATAATACGCACTAAGATTCGTGAAAATCGGTTCAGATTTAGCTCCCATATATATTTTCGTCCTATTCTATGTAAATAGAGTACCAAAGCCGCTATATATTTTTCGATTTTCACGAAATTCGGCATAGCCTACTAAATTAGGTATATAATGGATACGGCTCTTATATTTTATCAATCCGAGGGACACGAAATTTTGTACAACGTATCAAATTGAGTCCACAATGACGTTATTGCGTTTTATTGCCGACTTAGCTTCCATGTATCGAGTTTGCTTTAAATTGGTCTACATAAATTTGTGCCACGTTACGCAATCGGCTCTAAATATGCCCGAATGAAATTAAATTTAGTATAGGTTGCAGAAAGGCATGTGTAGGAATTGATGTTAGTCCTTTCACTAATCACATATTTAAGTTTGTTCAATTTCATGTCGATGTTCCTTCGAAAAGGGACGTCTGTTTGGATCCATATCTAGAATATTCTCAATGTTTTACGCTGTTCATTTTATATATCATTTTTTATCAAAATGCTCCGATTTTTTATAAACAAAACCAGTAGGGAAGTAGTAAAGTCGGACCGGGCCGACCCTTCACCACTTTGGGCATATTTTACATATGTACCCTAACAATTGCATGTCGATGTTCCCTCGAAGGAACATAATCATGCCTTTCTGCAACCTATGCTAAATTTAATTACATTAGGTCAGATTTAGAATCGTCTGCGAAACTTTTACGAAACTTAACACATATAACTCTAAACTTAATTCAGTACGCTATGCAAAATTTCGTGCGAATCGGTGGATATATAGGGGCTCTTGTGCACCATTTACCTAAATTCGGACGAAAATATATATGGGAGCTATGTCTAAATCTGAACCGATTTTTCCCAATTTCAATAGGGTTCGTCCTTGGGCCAAATAAATGAGCTGTGCCAAATTTCATCCAATTCAAAAATGCGACCTGTACTTTGTTTACAATTTAACAAGGAAAGACGGACGGACATGGATAAATCGACTTAAAAAATTATTCTATGCATATTCGCAAAAGGAACCATGTGTCTATCTTGTTTTCTATTGCCTGTTACAAACATATGCACAAAGACATAACACCCTGTACCACAGTGTAGTGAAGAGAATAAAAATATATAATAATCTAAATAAAATATATATATAAGGTCTCCGATGATTATTTCGAAGTGTTGCAAATGGAATGACATCTAAATTCTGAATACCTCATCTAAATTCTGAATACATAAATTTGTAACCAAACTCTGTGCCACTGTGGCCAACAACCATGTAAATATGCTGGCTTCAATCCACCACATTTCGAAAACTTAATCACCCTCATCACTAGGTGTCCAATAACAAAAGGAAGGGGGCATAAATTTCATCAACAACCCAAAATAAAATCATTTAAATTTTGGACATAAAAAAGCCTTTGGTGAACAATTAAGGTTATGTTAACGAGTTTTTAAGGGCTCACGTGTGGATGCGTACTCAGCAGGTGATATGTGATGTTGACTCTCTCTCTCTCACACACACACGCATTTGCATTAATTGTTATGGAATGATAATATTATCTGAATAAATCTAAATGATGGCTATTGATTTTATCGATTTAGTTAATCGATAAACAGAAAAATGGTAAAATATTATACCCGGAAGTAATAATTATTTGGAATGTTAAGAGGAATAAAATGTGAGAAAATATCGTTGGAAAATGTATGTGGTTATTTCGATACAGGTATTAAAATACGATATATTTGTAGATTATGATTTTGATTAAGTTGTCGGCAAGTTCGTATTGTGTAAGAATGGTTATGGTCTGAGCTACATGTGGTAGCATTTTTTTCTAGACATCAAGAAAAGCATTGACGTAAAAATCTGCACCAACGAGTAAGAGACGCTTCCACAGAAAGTCGATGGTGGAACGATCAAAATTTATTTATTGCGAAGCTGCTAACACTGTGTAAGAAGATTTTGGGGCAGGAACATTTTTTGGGAAAGAAAGCGCTTGGCGAGTATATTATTTCAGACGAATGCGACACAAGATTCGTCAAGAAGATTTTGGGACAGGAACATTTTTTGGGAAGAAAGCGCTTGGCGAGTATATTATTTCAGACGAATGCGACACAAATGCGCCTAGAACCATCGAAATGATATATATGTCGACGACTGCATTAACAGAAAGTGAAGATGTATTCCAAAAAAGTGGATCAACAAATTTATCCGGTGACTTAATATGTCTATTTGGAATTTAGTAGTGTTTGGCGGGTTATTTGGGATACCATTTGTATTTTGTTTTTGCAAAATAGTCAGGCTTAATCCCAGTTTGTTGTTTTTATAAAAAAAAAACAACTATTTATTAGTGGGGAATGTATGGCATTGTCCGCCGAGGGGTAAGGCAGGGAAGACTATAGTTTCGGATCTCGCCACTGATCCTCATCAGTTCCCTTAGTTTTTTGTTGGGATATTCTCCCCAGAAGCTATTAATAGCTTCTTTACAAAAAACCTTTCAAACCCAAATGTCTCTTGTGACAATTCGAAGTTCTTACGTTACCAGCGATACGACCCCAATGAGAAGTTCGTTTCGTTGGCGCCTGACTTCGTGGTCAACAACTGGGATTAAGCCTGACTATTTTGCAAAAACAAAATACAAATGGTATCCCAAATAACCCGCCAAACACTACTGAAGTTGTAGACGAGGCACGGTCATACTGTTTGGTATTTTGCTTTAACTAGCAATACCAACAACAACGTTATGTGCATTCGTCACAAAGTGACGACACATAGCAGTGGGAAATGTATTGTAGTTGTCTGTAAATGCCTTGTTGACCACGAAGTCAGGCGCCAACGAAACGAACTTCTCATTGGGGTCGTATCGCTGGTAACGTAAGAACTTCGAATTGTCACAAGAGACATTTGGGTTTGAAAGGTTTTTTGTAAAGAAGTTATTAATAGCTTCTGGGGAGAATATCCCAACAAAAAACTAAGGGAACTGATGAGGATCAGTGGCGAGATCCGAAACTATAGTCGTCCCTGCCTTACCCCTCGGCGGACAATGCCATACATTCCCCACTAATAAATAGTTGTTTTTTTTTTTTATAAAAACAACAAACTGGGATTAAGCCTGACTATTTTGCAAAAACAAAATATTTGGAATTTCTATTTTATTTCATTCTCTTATCTTATAATTCTCATTCACTTGATAGCCATTGCAAGGTATAATGTCCATATTAACCAGTGTCTGGTTATCGCTTCCCCGCCTTATGGCTAAGATCAAAGTGTAGTATCTGTTTTTATCAGCTTAACATCTGATATATCCTCCACCGGAGGACAACAAATTTTAAACTGATTTTTGGATATTGACGGAAGGGGCTGGCTCCACTTCTGGCGCGGGTTGGCCTGGTATTGCAGTACCGCCGGGATTTTGGCCCATCCTACACGAATAAATAATAATTATTTTAAAGACAAGTAAATAATAGATTTGTGTTGCGACAAATGACAGGACAATCCAAATAGGGAGTAGCCAGTATTCTTCCCAAGCGACTGTTTTACATGAAACTCCACGCAAACCAATTCTGGAAGAAAAAGAAAAGGTGAAGAAGCGTCGAATTCTTTAGGAAAGTTGTTGAGAGGTTGAGTTCAGGACAGGGTTAAGGACCACAAGATTTCAAATAAATTATTTTGGAATATATAAAATAAGAAAGCTTCTGAAGGTCAGAATTGGGACATACACAGTGTCAGGGCGAGAAGGTGTCTCGGTGGATGGGAGTTTCCTTGGCATGATAGCCTTCGGTGAAATCATTGTTTCCAGGTTTAATTTATGTTTAGTTAATATTCAAATATCCGTTAATTTTTATTTTTCCTTTTTACTTCCTCTTATTCTTAATTTTTTACATATTTCGGCTTTTCCAACATTTGTTAGTAGTCTTCATCCTCCAGATTTACCCGCGCTAAACATCAGCATTCCATCAAAGCCAACAAAGAACAAATCTTAAACCTCTTCTAAACACCGGTTGGTACCCCCGCAACAGACTCCCCGACTTCATAAACTTTGACCGCCGTACTTTCCCAAACCATGGAAAAGAAGACTAAACTCCGTCCGGGTTTAAAACGATGAATAATAGGCAATATGTGTAGTAGTCACTCTGAAAGTCGACAATTCGTAGAGTGAAATGGAGAGCTCCCCAAGGTGGGGTGTTCCGGTCGGGAACTGTTCAACCTCTAGCTTTCTGATATTCCACAAATCTTAAATGAATCTCCCACTGAAATAAGAAGTAGGAGCAAGTACTTGGGGCTGCGACAGAATTTTTTTTTGACCTCTTATAAAACAATGGTAAGCTATGCGGCGCCAGTATGGTTAGAGAATGGATTGATATGCGGTAATAGAACATTACGACTTATCAGAACGCCGCCCTGAAAACTGGGTGTCTGCTCATGGCACTAGGGGCCATCTTCCGGAAGAGGCGAAGATCTTACCCACCCATTGACACAACCAAATGTTGTCGATGCAGTACTTGTTTGGGTGTTATCTTCGGCGTTGCCGTCATCAGCAAAGATCTTCTACAAAAGCGAACCTCTAGATCAGCAAACTTATCAGGCGAGTCTGAAAGGCAATAATACAGATACAGTCGGCCAGATTTAGTGCCCTACTTAGTTGCGTTATATCGGATTGGCTCTAGGGTATTCATTGAGTACTCTGGACTATTCCAATGGGGCGTTGGTCGACTCATATATCGACACCCAATAGTGCACCAAGGTTAAAGCTGTCAAGTCGAGAATCATGTGAAACATGACGGTTTCATGTGGTTGCAAACTTTTTTACTTTGGATACTGAAGAGCCAAAACCAGGAGCCTGTATCTGTCTTGTATTTTGGTTAGTGCAACAATCTCGAAATATTTCTTCACGAACCAATCTTCAAAGAACTTTTTGAATTTGGTCATATGTAAGCATTTATTGCAGCATAGCTTTTGAGTCTTTTAAAGATGTAGACCATTTAATATTACAGCTTAAAAATATACACCATAAAGAAAGGACCATCCGATTTTCCATATTTTTCATCCGAAGTGGCTGCAATATGGCATTTCAAGTTCTTCGAAGTAAAAACCATGTAGTTCTATATTTTAACAAAATTCCTACATACATACAAACCACCCGCTTTTATGTATTTTGATGATCCTAGCCCTTTTTTTCGACCGATGTTTTGTAATCTGTCATTTCGGGATCATGGAAGGGGTTTTAGATTACCAATCGATAATTTTTTTCCGGTGAAAAATGTTTCCACATATAAATTAGTATATCATTTTATCAGAGCATACAAAACGGAAGGTGAAAATAAGTTCGTCCTGACCAATATTAACGAAGTTTGCAAATTGGCCCTTCAGAACGTCTATGAAGACTCCCTGTCACTTCAAATCGGCTCAGAAGAATCCCTGGATCTTCAGTTTTATAAAGACACCCTGGTTTTCTAATAATCTACAAAGACACCATGGTCCTTTTAATAGACTTTATAGACGCCCTGGCCTTTCTGATACTCTGTAAAGACTCCCTTGCCTTTAGACTCGTCCATAAAGACTTCCTCAAAGGATAAAATACAGCTGACAAGAGTAGGTGATATAAAAAGATTGTGCCGAACAATATTAACGACGTTTACACGTCCCTGATCCTTCAGATCGTCTCCGTGAAGACTCCCTGCCTCTTCAACTTGCCTCAGAAGACTCCCTAGACCTTCAGCTCTATAAAGACACCCAGGTCCTTCTGATTGTCCTTTCCATTCAGACTCGTCAATTAAGACCCCATCAAAGAATAAAAAACAACCGGCGAGTGTGAATGATGTAAAAAATTCGTCCTGGCCGATCTTAATGGCGTTTGCACTTTCTAAGTTCTAAAACTCCCACCTACTGAAGGGTATACCATGTTCGGTGTAAACGAACATCATTTTATTCTTATATGTAACACCTTTATTATTGTTATTATTAAGAACTAGATGTTAACGGACTTTGGAATAATATGTTGCAATCGATGATCGCACAGTACTATACATATCCTTCGACTATCCATTTTGTCCGATTGGTTGTACTTGAACAATCGTGATTTACAACATTATAAACGAATTAATTACACACTTGCATAACAATAAATTACAATTACGATAGGTCCGCATGCTACATCTACATGTCCATGCCACAGTCACTGCACTGCCCCGCAATGATGACGAAGTCCTGGGCCTGAACCATATGTAGCGTCATTATTGAAAGAATTATTTTGTATTTTGTTGGTGTGACAGCCAGCATTAAGCAACGGGCTGGCCGGGCTTGTGGTCTTGTTATCCGCATTGTAAAATCAGCGCAATACCACCAACAGCAACAATAACAACAACGACGATGAATCCAGCCCGTCATCCATCCAGGAGGCTATTGCCATGAAGATCTAAGAGGAGTATCAAGTTTCACGGCAACAACGACGCGGCTATCTTAGGCAACAACAGGCGCAACAAGCAGCCGAGACAGCCAACCGAACGGCAACAACAACAACAGCAGCAACAGTTGTACATTTTAATTAACATCATTACCTTTACAACGGTGGCGGGTTCAGTTGGCCGATTGCTTTGGATGATTACTTAGCATGGATTGGATGGCTGGCTGGTTGGTTGCTGCTTGGCAGTTTTCTTGGTTATTTACAGCTTACTTAGTTGGTTGGTTGTTGAGCTGTGTGTGTTTGTCGGTCGCTGTGCCTTTAGCGAGTGTGACCAAAAGTTGAAAATGTCTTAATTTGTAAATGTCGGCAGTAACAGACGAATATTAACAGCCAACATGTCCTAGTATAAGCATACCATCACACCAACAACAGTAACAACAACGAACTTACCACCATTGGCGTTTTGAAGGCGGAAAATCCACCATCACTGGCCAGACAAAATGAAAAGCTTCTCCCATAATCAACTAGACAATCCGAAGTCAAACCTTACAAAACATGTCTCTATTTCGCCTCATGGGCAGATGTATGGACAAAACGATTGCATTTGGGATGAGTGGAGGGGAGCGGAGCGGAGGACATACCAAAGCAAAAAATGCCGAAACTCTTCTCCAGTACTTATAGCCCGAGCACGATTCATCAGTTGTCCTATGAGTGTATTATAATGAAGTTCCGCATTATAATGCGCCCACAGTGGCTAAAACGTAGTAAAGATCCTTTAATATTTGAATTCGTTTCTAGGCGTGGATTTTTTAAAGAAAAAATTGTCAAGGACTTTCGGAGCCATAGGTGTGGATTTTTTAGAGCAAAAAATTTTCCAGGACTCTTGGGGTCATATGTGTGGATTTTTTAAAGATACAATTTTCAAGGACTTTCGGTATCAAAAGCGTGGATTTTTTAAATAATACATTTTCAAGGCCTTTCGGAATCATAGACGTGGATTTTTTAAATAATACATTTTCAAGGACTTTGAGAATAATTTTTCAAGGACATTCAGTCTAATAGGTGTGAATTTTTGAAAACCAATTTTCAAGGACATTTGGAGATTTTTTAAATAATATGTTTTCAATGCAAGCGTGAATTTTTTAAAGAATATTTTTTCAAGGTCATTCAAAGGAATCAGACGGGATTTTTTAAAGAATATTTTAGGGACATTCGGAGGCATAAGAGTACATATTTTAAAAATATTTTTTCAATGACCTTTAGAGGCAAAAGCCTGTATTTTTTTAAGAATATTTTTTAATGACATTTTAAAGGATATTCAGATGCATAAGGGTGGCAGTTTTTATGAATATTTTCAAGGACATAAAAAGGATCTCTAGAGGCAAAAACCCGGATTTTTTAAAGAATATTTTTTTAATGACATTTATATGTAAGGACATTCAGAGGCATAAGAGTAAATTTTTTTAAAAATATCTTTTCAATGACCTTTAGAGGCATAAACCCGGATTTCTTAAAGTATATTTTCCAAAGACTTTCCGAGAGGACTATTATTCTAAGCGAGTAATATTTTTCAAGGACCTTTAGAGGCATAAGCCTGGATTTTTTAAAGAGATTCAGAGGCATAATCTTGGGTTTTTAAAAAATAAATTCAAGGTTCTTTTAAAGGGCAAGCATGGATTTTTTAAGAATATTTTTCAAGGAAATTAAGAGGCATAAGGGTCGATTTTTAATATATTTTTTAAGGACCTTTAGAAGCAAAAGCTTATATTTTTAAGGACATTCATAGGCATGCGAATACATTTTTACGAATATTTTTTTCAGGGACCTCCAGAGGCTTGAATTTTAAAGAATATTTTTCAAGAATTTCCAGGGGCATAGATTTTTTTAAAGAACATTCTTTTCAAGGGGCATACGAGGAAGTTCATTAAAATTAGTTTCAAGAATTACTTTTCAAGGTCTTTCAAAAACATTGCCTAGGAATTAAAAACTTCAAGGGCTTTTAGAGGAATACGCGTAGATTACT